CCCGGCTACAGTACACATCAGTTGAGCGCTGTCGCTCTGCGGCACTTGTTTTAGACAATTTTTATACTTTTTTTCTGGACAAATTCTATAATTTTTTTGTAATATTTTGAGTGCCAGCACTACAAGTTGTGAATATAATAATATTCGTTGTTATGTGAGTTATAGCAAAGACCGTATACAATAAGACTGGACAGGTGCTATGCTTGCTACGTTAAAATTGTGTTTGACACGTGATTCTAGCGCCGACCAACCATGAAGTAAAGTCTATCAACCAGCTGACTGATAACCACTGAGCTGTATATAATAACAGTATGTATGCTATATACAGCTCAGTAATAAAAACAGTAAAATGTATATAGTTACTCAAAAATAGAGACACATGATTGTAACACGTAACATGATTCATTGCATTGTATTTTATTGTAAAGCGCTGGATTATCACATTTCTATTCCTAAACATTGCTATAGGCACTTAGCATGAAATTGATGGTGTAGTAATATAAATGAAAATAAGCGTGTGGGCTCTTTGCCATCAATACAGTAACAAAGTGCTAGTTTAAACAAGTTTTATTATTCTTGTGAAGAAGTCATTGTTGAATTTGCTTTGCATATTCCGTGTGAATGTACAATGGTTCTGCGCATTGTACAAGACTTAGTGTTATGGGTGTACCAGTGTTATAGACGGTTCATGAGACACGTCGGGGGATGCCCGACTGTGTGTAGGCACGTGATCGTATAGGTCGTAATGTTATGCGTCTTGCGTTGTGTATTGTACTTAACCCGTTGTTTCGTTTCGTGTTTGCGTTTCCGCTTGAAGGAGATGTCAGACTTGTCTCTGTGTCTCTTGTGCGACGTAAGGCGAGTAGTAAATAACTTCACAGTAGAGATAACACGTATTTGTTGTAACAGACTAGATGATTTTATTCTACTCAGAGAATCACTAAATACAGACTAGGTAATGTTTTACAGCACATATAAGTTCCTCTACTTCTTCACTACGTGTTCTACCACGTCGGATTACGTGCCTATCTCTAGCTGACTCGCTTGCTACGACTGACTGGCTGAGACTACTGGCGTCCCGACGCGCGGTAGGTTTTTATATCCATCGCGCGTGTGTGGTCATGGTGAGGGGACGCGTATATGGTATGGTACGGGGCGCGTGTCTCCTGACCATAGTGTTGTGGCTGTGGGCGAGGGAAACGGAGCCCAGCTGCAAATAGATTTTATATCAAACTTGATATTAAACCAGGTTCACATGGCCGAAGGGCTGGCTCGTGATTGGGCCAATCCCTTAAGCCTGCCGCACACGCTGTGTTTTGTGCTGCGCCATCGGCCACTCGTGGATGATGGCGCAGCACAAAACACAGCGTGGCAAACACAGCGATTTCTTGCGTGTAGAAAATATCACACGTGTTTGATATTTTCTTCCACGTGTGGCAGATTGCACAGCGTGTGCGGAGTGGCTGTGTCAAGTTCCACACCGGCTCTATGTAACCCACCAATAGCAGTAGGTCAAGCGAGTCACGTGATCTTAACTTGCAGTTGCAGCGCGGTTGCACTGTGGTACACGCACGTACACGCAGATACACGCACGTACACGCGGGTACACGGAGATACACTCACGTACACGCGGGTACACGCACGTACACGCAGATACACGCACGTACACGCGGGTACACGCACGTACACGTGGGTACACGCACGTGTACGCGGGTACACGCACGTACACGCTTTTTATTACTAATGTTAACGCTAAGATAACGCTTACGACTAATGTTAATGTTACGAGAGTCGGGTTGACAGAAACGCATCGCAGCTATGAGAAAACTCACGATAACAAGAACTTTATAATTTGATGACACAAGGAAAGATCGAGGCAAGTCCAAATAATTCAAAAAGGATGTATCATGTATGATAGGCATTGGTACGTGGAAATTTTTAAACGGCATTGAACCATCTGCAATATTTTGCAAGTGCTTTTCTACATTTGAATGAATTTTACGACGTTTTGTCCAATACGACATAATTCTATCAAACTAACCTAGCGCAACTGAAGAGGTACTCTGAAATAAAAACATAAAAAATTAACGTAGTTTTGCAGGTTAAATGTTTTGAAAAACATGCATGAGCTTATTTTACTATGTAAAATGCCAGACGAGACCCTGACCGCCTCTATATCATGCTGATAAAGATTTTGTCAATACTGTCAGTTCAAGAGTGTCAGTTTGTTCTGTTCTATCAGTTCTGTCCATTCTAGGGGATTAGGCAGAGGCCTATAGACATAG